TAGCCCTAAATGCATCCATATCCCCCACCCCCACCCCACCCCCCCCCACCCCCACCCCACCCCCAAGGCTCAAGGAAAATCACGGGAAAGGGGGAGAAGGAACGTAGAAGCTGAAGGGTGAGAAAATGGGTCACCACAAAAGATGGTGCTTGGACCTTGCCCTCAGGACTGCCCGCAGTGCTGCCGTCTGCCCACGACTGGTCCCAGCAACGTTATACCATGGATTGGGAAGGACCCATGAGATCACAGCCTTCCTTGGAGAACTGCTGTTAATGGCCATTAATGGTTGTTGGATGAGGAAATGTCATTTTCTTCTGTGGTGTCACCACTGATGAGTGGTCCACATTCCAGTAAATAACTTCTCACCCACTCATGTTAGGAATCTCAATTAGATTGTCAGTCAGTCAGTCTATCTGTCTCTCTCTCTTTGTCTCTCTGTCTCTCTGTCTCTCTCTCTGTCTCTCTCTCTGTCTCTCTCTGTCTTTCTGTCTCTCTCTCTCTCTCTCTCACACACACACACACACACACACACACACACACACACACACACACACCAGTAAGTGAGTAGGCTTGCCCAAATATAAATACTCAATGCTATAGATGGAAAGAACATCGAGAGACAGGTAGATGGCGGAGAGACAGACAGGTGACAGCTACAGACAGACAGCTGTCAGACAGGTATACGTACACAGAAAAGTCAAGAAGTATACACGCACGATTAGTAAAGTGAGCACTCGAAAGGAGTGAACTGGAATCAGAGGTGGTAGTTAAAGGGTAGCTCTTTGCTCTTTAGAGTATATCGCACCGAGAAAGTTTTAAATACTATATACGCAATCAGACAGAAATAGGCTAAGGACATTTTAAGGAACCAGTCATCAATAAACAGGCCATGCCGGGCGGTGGTGGTGCACGCCTTTAATCCCAGCACTTGGGAGGCAGAGACAGGCAGATTTCTGAGTTCAAGGCCAGCCTGGTCTACAGAGTGAGTTCCAGGACAGCCAGGACTACACAGAGAAACCCTGTCTCGAAAAACAAAAACAAACCAAACAAACAAAAAAAAAAAATAGGCCATGAGAAGAATAAATCAGGGACATGCAAGAAACTGTGTGACCACTGGAGTGGGGATGAGAATTATGAGAGAGGGGAAGCCATTCTGGGAGACCTTCCTAGGGCCAGGCTGGAATGACTGGATCAGTGGGGACAGAGACATAGAGACTGGGCCAGGTTAAATGTCACAGGAATAAGACAAAACAGCGGCCACAGACGGGGGTGATTGATCCTGATGACAGAGGCTCCGTGTTTGGAAGAGAGCAGGCAGAAGCCTTGTGATTCGAGGAGAGCAGGCAGAAACTCTGATTGGAGGAGAGCAGGCAGAAACCCTGTGATTGGAGGAGAGCAGACAGAAACCCTGTGATTGGAGGAGAGCAGGCAGAAACCCTGTGATTGGAGGAGAGCAGACAGAAACCCTGTGATTGGAGGAGAGCAGACAGAAACCCTGTGATTGGAGGAGAGCAGGCAGAAACCCTGTGATTGGAGGAGAGCAGGCAACAGAGTTGAGCTGGAGCTGGTGTTCTTAGGAAGGATTGGTGGGGTCTCCTAAAGACAGCTGGAGCGACCCATGGACAGAAGAAAGGCTAGCTGGCTTTCTCTACAAGTGGTGACACGATCGTCTTTATTCACACAGCCCTGCATTCTCTCTCCCTCCACACACCTCGTTCATCAGCCGGCTAGCTGCCCCTGCTCCGGCCTTCGACTTCATGTCCCAATGGAGAACGGATTTAAACTGCTCGCCATCTTCTTTGCCATCAATCTGTGTACAATGAAAGCATTTTCAGTAACGTCTCCACTCAAGAAGAGAAAGAAAATAAGCGATGCATAGGTAAATTGGGGCAGTTCTTCTGAGTCTAGGCGGTGAGGTGTTAGTGTTTCTGCAAAGCTCAACACGTTATCAACACATCATCTGCCCTACTGTGGTTTCATCTGTGTCACCGGCTGGATGACATGTTGAACTCCTTCTGTGTGCAAAGCTCTATTAAGTGGTGCAATTTAAAAGGCTAGAGTTACTCCAGCAATGTGGCCCAGCTAGTAAAGACTTGCTACCAAGCCTGACGACCTGAGTTCAGTCCCCAGCACTGACTCCATAAATAGTCTCACACACACACACACACACACACACACACGGCACAAATATACATACATACATACATACATACCCACATGTAAACAATTTTTAAAAGATAAGGTAAAATCTAGAAATGCAGTGTTGAATTTCCTTTCACTCTCAGTAATCAGGAACTTCTAGCTTAATGTACATTTATTTATTTTTTTCAGAGTGACATTTGCAAAGTAGAAAACCATGGATCTGTGACAAATCCCCACTCAAAGTCTTTATCAAAATTCCCATCATCAACGCCTTTTCTCCCTTTTGAAAATTTTAACATGTGCACAATGTATTTATCTCTTTTTGAATTGGCCGTGTCTCTCAAAGAGGCGGAAGGGTAGTATTGGAAATCTCATTCACCACACATACACATAGGAATGTTCAAAGAATTGAAGCCTAGAAAGAATATGATTGGCCATTTCAATTTTTCCTGATGTTTTTCATCAGGAGGAGAAAGGAAAAGAAAAGAGGAAGGGGGTTCCAATGATCAACTGTTTATATGCACACACACACACACTATATATACCATACATACACTCACACACACACATATATGTTCACATGATATACAACTGCACATGTGTGCACACATGTACATCCATGAACAAAAATACATGCTGTAATATATCAATGTATAAACACATATACACAGAAATATACAGGCACACACTTTTCACAGAGACACTCATCCATGCACACACACTCATATATTGCAAACATACAATACACATGAATGTATACATATATACAGCAGTGCACATATCATGTGTCTGTACGTGCATGCATGGCTATTCACATTTCACTCTGCCCATGTGCAAACATATGAATATTGTCACATAGAGACACACTCACGCCTCCTGGGAAACTGCCATTCTTTCCTATAGTCTAAAAAAGAATGAGAGATTACGCTAACATCCTGCCGGACTAGCCTCTGTCATACATAGTTAGAAGGACACGAGTCCACTGCCTCCCAAGGAAAGGTAAACACTGTGTGTCTTATAGAACTGTAAGGTAGCCCTACTAGCTAAGACTGGGGGGGGGGGTGCTGGGCAAAGACAGACAGTGTAGATCTGTTTGTACTGTGTACAATATACCCCAAGAGCATTCTTATAGCAACTACTTCTCCCTGCACACATCTGCAGAAACATCTGGGTGTGTGACGTTTCAATTTTTCTGGCTTTTGCAGTTTGCTACCTTCTGGGTATATATACACAGTGGGCCAATAAGATGGACTCTACAGCCTGACAGGTCTGGATTCATACACAGGGATCTGGATGGAATTGTACACGCTCTATAATGTCTTTGAGTCTCAGCTTCCTCCCCAGACGAATGGGATAAGAATAGTATCTGTTCCCTTGGTCTGTAATGCGTATGGCGTGAAGTAAGCGATTTCCAGTCAGTGCAGTTGCAAAATAAAAGCATAATGCAGAGAGCTTAGGGAGGTAGGTCTGGTAGCAGCAGCTGTAAAGTCACATGCAAGGACAGAAGCATTAAGACAGTTTCTTAAGTACAGTCCTGTGAATACCAGAGTCCATGCAAGCGGGGGCGACACCAGGAAAGGACTCTGGGGTGAAGAGAGATTACTAGAGAGCCCTACACCTGCTGGGTAATTCCTAATTTTAGAAATCTGCCTAAGTTCCATCCCACAGAGGAGTTACTCTTGGGCCTGCTGACAGAGGGCCAATGATTCATCATGTTAATAGACACAGCGGTTCCATCAACAGCTGACTGGGTGACAGAAGCTCACTGTTGGATTTAACGCACCATCCTCCCAAAGCAAACTTCATTTCTCAAAGTATATCTGAGCTACCCTCCCCAAAGGGGGATCATGAGATTATACATAATTGTAAGCCATTACTCAGTTCAAGAACTGCAAACTGGAGGGTTTTAATATCCTATTCCAAAATACTACAGAGGAAGGAAAAGAAGAGTGCTCTTTATAATATTTTTCAACTATGTAAATTTTGTTTTATATGTTAATGACCTAATGTATGCAAGGCCTATTGTATAAAGTGATACCACGGTCTGGCTGGCCAGACATATGCTAGAATCAAGGACCTGCATTGGCCTCTAATGTTGAAACAGGACATAGAGCAGCAATGGTCTTTTAAGAGAACTTTGCATGTGTCTGAGGAGGAAGTCAATTGGTCTGTATATAGACAGAAACACTTAAAAACCAACAGGTGTCGGAGTCCATGGATTTTCCTTAAAAGCTATTTCAAAATGCAGAGCTAAATGACTTACCGGACCCGTGGCTGCCACAGACTTCTTCAGGGTTAGGTTTAAGGGTGTGTGGTAGACACTAGTGAATGTGTTGTTCTTAGGGTTGTGGCTGCAGGATTAAATACAGATCAAAATTAGGAATGTGCTTTATCCAAAGGGACAGGGGATTCTTCTTAAAATACTAGTCTCTTCTTAAGATGGACACATCTCAAGGATTCAGCTCCTTCGTTTCCCAATGAATCACCCTCAAAAACTCAGATCATGTAAACTGAACACATGTAACAGTGAGTTACATTCTGCTGAGGACAGTCACTTGAGAAGTTTCCAACAGAATAGATGAATCTGGACATCACTTAGGAGAAACACTTTAAAGATCCATCTGTTCACATCTTTGGCAGTTCCACTGTTCTGCAGAGTTCATTGTCTGACACAGTTACAGAGGTGGACTTGGTCTCTCACTAACTAGAAATTTGACATTTATTGGCCACGTCTGAAAAACCCCACTTTGGGCTCTTTTGTGACTAGATACGAGTGAGCACTTCAGGAGAGGTGCTGCTCAGGGTCCAGCCTGGAGCTTGGGAACCAATCCCTCGGTTGACTACATTTTGAAAACCTAAAGTCATGCAGTGGCGATCAGGGTGCCAGACACTTACGCGTGACAGTACGGCTTTTTCTGGTGACTCACGAAGTTATTAACAGAAAGCATCATCTTGCAGACCTCACAGTGAAAACATGCTTTGTGCCATGTCTGAAAGTCACAGAAAAGATCTGCTAGTTAAGCTGTCTTCCTCCAGGCCTGGAGCTCACAGACTTTATGGTAAAAAGTTGGGAATTTGGATAAAATAAAGATAAAATTCCAGAACTCACATGTGAGTATGCTATGTTAAAATGAAACATCTTTTCCCTTAAAATAGCATAGAAGACATAGAAACAAACAGAATCTATGTAAGTTAGGAAAACATATCTTTTCCTTATCATTCAATATACATGAGAAGATAAAATCCCAAGTTTGTCACTCTTCCCAAAGACCATAAAAAGGAATCCACTGACCTGATCTATACAGCTGATCTTCTCAGCAGGGTAAACCCCATAGCCACACCTAGAGCAGGCCTGCACATTCATCTTGGAGTGTGGGAGACAGGGAGAAGCAACAGGCAAACTCCGATAGAACCCTCAGTTGAGTCTGTAGCACCTTCAAAACCCCACCACTATGAAACTCCTCGGGACGCCTGGAGCCTTTGGAATCCAACTTCCACTTTCCTACGCTGACCTTCTGCTTTGGAGTCTGCAGCTGGTTGGTTTTTAAAGCTGCCACTTACTCAAGTGACAATTTTGGCAACTCCGTCAGCACGCATGCGCCTGAGACAAGGTAGAGGTATTTCATGCTGACGTGCTTCTCAAAATAGAAAAGTTAACTCACGACAGCATCGTGTTTATGTGGATAACCAACTCTTGGTGTGTGTGTGTGTGTGTGTGTGTGTGTGTGTGTGTGTGTGTGGTCAGATGCTTAGGTCTGGTGAACACTAGCTGTGTTCATACTCCAGAAAAGGAGTCTAAAGAATAGCCATACCGCCATGTGGCCATCAAATTAGAAACGCTGACTGTAATGCCTCTGACTAAGGCAGACAGGCCAGTCCCCAGAATATGGATGAATGAAGAAAAGAAATAAGAAGGAAAAAAAAGATCATGACTGCTCCTAGGTGTGAAGGAGGAGAAAGTTTATTGCAGATAAAAGGGAGAGTATAGCCTGAGGCAGGGCCATCTGGGGGAGTCCAGAGCGGACATGGCCAGACTGAGCTGGGCCGTGTGTGCAGGTAGGGGAAGGGAGAGAGGGAACTTGTTGTAGCAGCCAAGATTCCAAAGGTACAAAAAGGGGCAGGTAACCAAGTTACTAGGATTGTATATATATGGAAGAGACTCTGGGGAAAGGCACTCCAGTCTGGAGGGTTCAGTGTAGAGGACAAGGTATACCAGCCATACCCTGTAACAGGTGGGGACCAAGGGAAGCTGGGAGAACCTGGTGGCCAGGACTACTTGGATATGTAAAATAGGCACCTCAGCTCTTTGCCCAGGTTTGAGATCTAACACTGGATAAATGAGAATTGATTCACACTCCTGGAAGGATAAAGACCAAACCTAATAGTATTGAATTTGCAGAAACAAAACTAAAAACGTATGGTACTAATTAGTGTTTAACTTTTACTGGAATTAAAAATTATGTAAGAACAAGTATGAATGAATGCTTGGTGTTTGGCCTTCTATACCTTGTCCTAGAATATTCCAAAAAGGCTTATTTCCTTGACTCAAAGGTCTTAACAGAAATAGTTTAACGACAAAAATCTCCTCTTGGCTTTGGCAAGTGCCCGTGGCATTTAGTCTCTGCTCACAGGCAACCTGTGACCTGCTGGGACACCCTCTACAAAAGGACACTTCACTTGTCCATACCGGGACCTGATCACTTTATGTGTCTATTCCCTCCTGATTAGTCTTACAACAGCAATTGCTACCTGGAAATACTAAATATGAATAAATCTACTGTTCAGAATCAAGTCACCTCCACCAAAATATAACACTGTGGTCCAGATTGAGCATCCATATTCCAACGTCTAGAAAAAGGCCCGTCCTTGGTGTTCATTAGAGTAGTAAACTAATGTAAGAAACTTAATTCTTGGCATTACAGTCAGCTTTTCTAATTTGATGCCCAAAGGCAGTGGTGGCGAATGCCTTTAAGCCCAGCACTTGGGAGGCAGAGACAGGTGGATTTCTGAGTTCGAGGCCAGCCTGGTCTACAGAGTGAGTTCCAGGACAGCCAGAGCTATACAGAGAAACCCTGTCTCGAAAAACAAAAACAAAAAAAACAAAACAAACAAACAAACAAAAAAACCCAAGAAACTTAATTCTTACACCAAAATGCCTAGAGGCTAGAACTGAAGTCCTAGGCAATAGTAAGACCTCAGATGGATGTATAAATGTTCCATTCAGGCAAACAATACGCCCCAGCCAACTGATGTCAAGAGGAAACAAGTTCTCAGCATTGCCAAATATTCATTTCCCATGGAAGCCAGAAATCTGGTTTACAAATGAAATTTCCTTTTAAAAAGCGTAAAGGGAACACTGGGAGTGAAACCTATTAAACAGGGCTGTGGTCAGTAATTCTCTATCAGACTACCAGTTTGTGACCTTGGGCCTTTCTTACTGGAGATAAGACTGGGTGTGGGGAGGTCAGCCCGAGAGAAGGAAGCTACCAGGCACGAATCAGCGACTGGGGTGGGGCTGGGCAAGTCTCATGAAGCAGAGACTAGGGTGGGGCCAGAAGCTGCCCTCTCAGTGCCGGGAAGGGACTCAAAGCAGGAACTCTAGGCTCAACTGCTCCCCACAGAGCAACCACCATCCTGGTAGCAGGATGGTCTCCAGCCTGAGCAATGGGAGCAAACTCGAGTTGCTTCCCTGTGTACCAGAGTTCTCAAGCCTGACTTGGGAGTTATCGGGGAGCCCTCAACCATGAGATGGAATCACTTTCACTTACCAGAAAAGCTAAGGGCGTTTGTACCCTGGCAAAGACCAACTGCGCCCTACAGCTGCTCCAGGTTCTCCATCCACTTATAAAAACAAGGATTGTTGGAAGGAAAGGCATTTTGTTCAATTTTGTACCAGAGCTTCTGTTTCCTGAGATACTGAAATTTCGGGGGGGGGGGGTGGTGACAGCACAGAGAACAAGGATTGGGACAATCTAAAAGTGTCGAAATAAATACCTATTGCAGGACAGACAACACAGGCATCCCTTAGCTGAAAGACGCTAAATTTTAAGCGTGTCTTCCAAAGTTTATGTCTTGGAAATTCTATCACCAATGTAACAAGGCTGGGAGGTGGGGCCTGAGTAGCAATCAATGGATCAATGTCACCAAAGAGACACAGAGGTGTCCCCTCTTCCCCTCTCCTCCTTGATCTCATCCTATCAGCCAAGGCATGACACAGCAGGAAGTCCTTCCCAGATGCCAGTGTCATGCCCTCAGTCAGCCTGCTCTCCAGAGGTATGAGACAAATGCTGTTTGTCATGAGCTGCTGAACGTTGGGTGTTACTAAGCTGTAAGAACAGGGTAAGACAATAGGTTGGGCACTTGGCCCATACCACAGCTCTCTACTTTTCTTTCTTGGTCCAAGCTCTGGCCCCTTGGCTCCAGGAGTATATCAGGCCACCAAGCTAGGGAACACAAGGAGTTCCTCCAACCTCAGAGAGTGGTTCAAATAATATGGGCCTTAGCCTCGGTTCTCCAGAAAACAGGAGCTAAGGCAAAGGCCTGTGTTGAAGATGGTATTTGGGAGAGTACTTTAAGTTATAACTCAGGAATCAGAGTGAGGAGGCAGGAAACAGGAGGAGATAGACACTGTGAGGTTGGTCCTCAAGGCAACCAACATTTGTATCTAAAATGCTCAGGACCAGAAGTATTCAGGTTTCAGTTTATAATTTAGTTACATATATTATGAGATAGCTTAGGTGAACAAGTCATATATAAATGTGAAAATCATGTTTCATATATACCCTAATACACAGCCAGAAAATAATATTATGCATATCTTTAATAATTGTGTGTATGAAGTGAAGTGGAGGAGGAAGGAAAGATCTGCATTGGCCTGGAGTGTCAGAGAATTCCTTCTACGGCTGGATGACACCACTGCTTTAGACCCAAGAGGAGGTGGAAATGGGTCAACAAGCTCACGGTGGGAAGAGCGGCTTACCTCACCACAGCCAACAAGTGTCAGAAGTCAGAGGAAAGGGCCAGAAAACAAACACATCCTCTGTCTTGGTGGCTCTGACACCATGACCAAAGCAAATTTAAAAGTAAAGCATTTAATTGGGATCTTATAGTTCCAGAGGGTTAGAGTCCATGAATGACAGAGGGACAGAAACAGAGAGACACTCTGCTAACTAGGAAAAGGAGCTTTAGAGATCTCAAAGCCGACCCCCAGTAACACACCTCCTCCAGCAAGGTCACACCCCCTAATCCTTCCCAAGCAGTTCTACTAACTGTCCGCCAAGCATTGAATATATAAGCCTATTGGGGCCATTACCTTTCAAACCACCATGCCCTTCAAAGGCGTGTCTCAGATGGCCCTGGTCCTCCAAGTAAATCCCACCTTCCACATTCCTGCTACTTCTCAGCCTATTCAAATTGAGACTCTACCAATGGACTAAATCATGCATGAGGTCAAAGCTGTTCTGAGCTAGTCATCTCTCGAGTGCCTCCACAGGCACACACAAGAGTGCACTTCATTAATTTCCTATGAAATCTGTCAGTCCAATCAAACCGACAATTAAAATTCTCTATCACTCTATGTGAATGACTGCCAGAGGAAGGAAGGAGAAGAGATTGACCATCAGCCCTTGCTGAGAGCTCAAAAGTATTAACTCTCTGTGTGACAGAGCCCAAGAGCAGCTTAGCTCCTAATCCCAGCAGGCAAATACCAAGCAGCAGAGGGCCATGGTCACTGATACTTATCTGTATGAAAATGGCCAGTGTCTGGAGAGCCAAGGCTGAGCTGGCACCAGAAGATCCATCCAGTCCCTCCACACCCCTCCAAACACACACGTGTGGTTGAAGGAGTCTTACGTAGGAACTGAGAGCAGTCAGCAGAGTGTAGCCCTTGGGTCTGAGAATGAGAAGTTACAGCTAGATCAGGACAGATGATAGAGTTTTGTGGACCCTTGGTGGAAATGCTTCTGGCAACGCCATCCCCCTGGCTTTGGCTTTAAATGTTGATCCGCAGGGAGCTGTGGTCAATGAAAAACTCCACAAGCTTTGCTATATATAACTGACAATGTTCGTGATGTGGAGAGGGGTTTCCTTTGAACTTAAGTACAGCACTCTTTATTCATCTCTTAAACCCCAGCTTGTTGACAATGGGCCCCTTGGTTCAGCTAATCAAGATCTTTCTAGACCACAGATGTGTCACCAGAACAGAGTGCTTGTCCTTGGCTCTGAGTCATTTCCAGCTCTCTTTGGAACTGCACAAGTGACTTTGTTTTGTAGTGTCAGGACAGCTACTAAAGGCCATTGGTCAGATTAGAATGGGGCTGCCCACCCTGTCCAAGTAGCTTATATCTGTTTTGGTTCAGGCCTCCCTAGAATTGGAACTAAAAGCAGAATCTTGAGTGCCTGGGATGGAGGACACTTAGGAGTTGGCAAGAGTGAAGGTTTCAGGAGAATGGGGCAGAGAAAATCAATAAATGGTGTGTGCTGTGCCCATTACTGCTGTGAACACTGAGGCTAAGTGCTGCTGAGAACTGTCTGGGGAACTGTATAGAATTCATCTCAGAAATGCCCTACAGGGGCACGTATCCACCCAACTCTCTCCTGTTATTAACTCCTCTATACCTTCAAAGAAAACCAGCTGAGGAATTAAGTAGCCTTGTGGAGTGGGTGGCTGAACTGGTGGGGCTGACACTGGGTACCCTACAAGTCAGAGTTAGGAGTAGGAAATTGGATGTCAGCTTGGTAAAGAGTTTGCAGGAGACTCACCTCGAGCTTCCACTGTGCTGCAGCTGACGGGGTCCATCTGTCTACCCCTCTGCTCCAGAGACAATGCTGGGGTAGGAAATTCACAAACCATGGCTTTCAAACCTTTCCAAGTCAGACCTTCAGCAGCTACGGATGGAGCACACTCGAGGTGCTTCAGTTAGCTAATGCTGTCATCCAAATTCCCCAGGGGGAGACAGCGTAAGCAACAGAAATTCACTTCCTCACACCTGTGGGTGCTGCACATCACAATGAAGGTATCAACAGGGCTCATTTCTCCTGAGGTGTCTCCACTTGAGAGGCCACCTGCTCCCTATGTATTCACATGGGTCTTAATCTGTATCTCTTACCAGAACTAAGATTATTCTGGATTACAGCCACCGTGGCCTTATTTTACCTCTTCAAAGACCCCCCCCCAGCTTGAAGAGACTCTCGGTGGTTAAGAGTTCATACTGTTCCTGCAGAGGACCTCAGTTTGGTTCCCAGCACCTACACTGACAGACAGCTCAAACCTCCTACAACTCCAGTTCAGGGGTGATCCGTCAGACTCTTCCGAACTCCAAGGGCACATGTACATGTGTGCGTGCAAGCACATGTGTGCGTGCAAGCGTGCACACACACACACACACACTCAATTAAAAAGTATAATTTTTAAAAAAGACATTATCTCCAGATGCCGATGATTCTGAGGTTAGCACTTCAGCATCTGAGCAACTGTCATGCAACATAAAGCACACGATAGCAGACACAATGCTGAGATGTAAGGGAACGTCACAGCACACTCCCGCTCACAGAGCTGAAGGAAGGGGCTCGACCCCATTTGTTTCCTGTTACTGTGATAAAACACAGACCAAACCAACACGGGGAAGTTGGAGTTTACAAGGCTCACGCTTCCAGGGCACAGCCCATCACAGAGGGAAGGCAGGACAGGAATTCGAGCAGGAACCTGGGTGAAGCAGACACCATGGAGGATTGCTACTTACTGGCTTGCTTCCTGAGTCTGCTCTGCTGGCGCTTTACAACAATTCAGACCCCATCTGCCTGGGGTTGTACCGTCCTTGGTGGGTTAGGTCCTCATGCATCAATCAGCAATCAAAAAACTGTCCCCCACAGACACACCCGCAGAGCAAGCTGATCTATGCTTAGAATTCTAACAACTCAAGCTGTCCCTTAGCTGAAGTTCTTTCTTAATTGTCAATCATGAACAGCTATCACAGGGACAAAGAAAAGTCTCATGTCTCTTCTTCTCTCCTCTGGGCTGAGGTCCTGACCTGAGTGGAGAGGGTGTGGCTGAGGCTCAGTAGATATGCAGTAGATCTTGCTAGAAGTTCCCTCTCTACAACTCCACAGCAGCTGATACTGTAGGTACCAGACAGAGTAGGTCTTGGGGAGAGGCTTCTGCTGGGAAAGCAATTACTGACTACAGAGAACTTTGTACCACCAGGTGGGCTATGGGAACCTCCCACTGAGGGTCCACTGCTTCTGCAGGATGCAATAAGTACAGAAACTACAAGCAAACCTTCCCATCATGGAAAGTATCCTCGGCTCCCACACATAATGCGCAGTCCTACCACTGGCATAAGGAAACTACGTAAAGGACTCGAATGAATTTTCACAGAGAAGACAGAACAAATACATCTGGAGTTGAGAGGCAACATGAATTCATTCTGTTCATGAAAAGAAGGGATTCTGCCTGGGCCCTGCCCCCTTGCTCCTCAACCAACAGAAGGTCGTTGGTATCTCAGCAGGGGCCTGAGTTTGGGTCTGAGTTTCTGGGTACAGACAGTGGCACTTCAGCTAGTCTTGGGGTATCTCTATACTAGACTCCTGTGTAGTTACAGCCTGTGCTGTTTGTGGAGTGTTAGATTGAGAACAGTCACTCTGGTACCCTGAGGGGTGAGGTGTGGGCAGGTGTGCCCTGCAGCTAGGCATGGGAATGTACTGGCAGCTTGGCTACCAGAGGAGGCTAGGAACAAGGTCTAGAGAGATGAGGCCAAGAGCAGTTATGAGGCCAGCCCCAGGGAAACCACCTGATAGATAAGGCTGGTAAAGGTCTTAGGAAGATTCCCATATACACACTTAGTATAGACCGTAAGCTCAGCACAGTTACATGGCTGGGAACAGAGGCATAACTTAGTGGAGCTTCTCTCCAAGGCCCTGGGCTAAACCATAGCACCAGCACACCCAAAGCCGAGACCTAGGAGAGACATTCAGGAGAGAGCATCACTTGCATTCAAGATATCGGTATAATGTTACAGAGTGGAAGGTGCCATGGGTCTCTTTTCTGTGCTTCCAGAAGTTTAAGTGTCTGTATTGTCATAATCCAGTCTGGGAGCAAGTAACTGGAGGTTCTCATGCCAGCCCACAAGCAAGAACGAACAAGAGCTTTCCCGTCATGCTGCCCCGCCTCTCCACCTGAGTCAGCTATGGATTCCTGTATGCCGATGCGTCATGCATGCTATAGCATAGGAAAAGCCTTCTAGTGGATAGAGCATCGCTGTCTGTCTAGGCAACAGGACCCTAGCTCTGTCACGTGGGCAACACCTCACATTCCTTACACCAAATGAGCAGACACTGGTTGTTAAGGCCCTACCACATTTCAGGACTAGACCAGAAAAAGTCACGGTTTACACTTAGATAAATTAGAGTGTCGATAGGATTTCTTCATTTTTTCGAAGAATTGTCAATTGAATAATTTTAAAAAGCAAATCATCATACCGTAAACCATGGCTTACCCTAGCATTTACCTCGACAGTTCAGGGACACCAGCATTACATAAAAAGGTGGGCCGGCATATTAAGAGTTGTTCATTTTAATTATGTCCTCACACTTGCTTGGGGTGAGTTTTTCTTGACTTCCAGAAAGTGCCCATACTGGCTGAGATTTTAGAGATAGTGCTGAAACTCTGGGGTTCAAGGAAGACACAAATAAAATAAAATAAAATAAAATAAAATAAAATAAAATAAAATAAA